TTTCGTGATGATATCTTCAATTCTCTAATTTTGGTGAATATTTTTGTCATTTTTGGTAAAAAGTGATATTTTCGACTTCTTGTTAAAAACCGCAAGTCCGATTGCTTTAATATTACATATATAGGTACTACATGTGGACCTCTCTCAGATTTGTTCATTTTGTGATGATATCTTCAATTCTCTAATTTTGGTGAATATTTTTGTAATTTTTGGTAAAAAGTGATATTTTCGACTTCTTGTTAAAAACCAATAGTTCAATTGCTTTGATATTACATATATAGATACTACATGTAGACCTTTCTCAGATTTGCTCATTTTGTGATGATATCTTCAGTTCTCTAATTTTGGTGAATATTTTTGGTAAAAAGTGATATTTTCGACTTCTTGTTAAAAACTGCAAGTCCGATTGCTTTGATATTACATATATAGGTACTACATGTGGACCTCTCTCAGATTTGTTCATTTTGTGATGATATCTTCAATTCTCTAATTAATTTATTTTGGTGAATATTTTTGTAATTTTTGGTAAAAAGTGATATTTTCGACTTCTTGTTAAAAACTGTAAGTCCGATTGCTTTGATACTATTCATATTGTTCATTTTCTAATGATGTCTTTAGTTCTTTAATTGAAATGTGCATTGCTAACAGCGGAGCTATCTCAGCCGATAGGCTGCTTGTTTTCATTTTCACTATTGTACCAAAGATATTGTGAGAGATCTAGGTTACCATTGATGATTTCAATAATGAACAGGAAAAAAAAGAAATTTTATAAAATCTTGGTATCTGTACAGATATATCTGAGGGGAAAATAGCCAATAATGTATATTCAACTTGGGACAAGTGTGCTCACGTACAATTGGTTATAAAATCGCACACCCCCTTCCTTATTGCAAACTCGTACTCAGTAAATTAGCCACTAGGAAACTTTAAACTTGTCTTTTGTTCCTAAACTTATGAACAGTGATGAACAATTTTACTGTTTATCATAATACCTCATTTTCATATACAAAATGTATACTATGTACATGTACCATGATTGTGCTAGCATTTTTGAGAAGTGAATCCCTGCGTAAGTGTTTGGAAGAATTAAAAATTCATTCTCAAATTGGACATAGAAATTCAAATAATAATACAAAAGTCTGGTAATTATAATACTAAATATATTGTATTGCATTCCTAGAATTAACACATTCTATTGGTAATTGGTAATAATTTATTATAATTCATTATGAAAAATTAAAATTAATTTGAGGGATGGAATTTGGGGTTGAACCAATCATTGATATATATTTATTACATTGTTGATAAAAGCTAAAAAAAAATTGCATTTATTGTGCAAAATCATTGAAATATGACTTACTTTTACTATAGTCGCATATCTTTCATTTACGGAAACACGTAAACTACTGGTTGAATAAAACAGTACTCGTTCATAGTTATATTATCTTATTATTACTTTCACAGGCTTTATCTAGAATCACTCGCCATTCCGCAGCAATCTTCCAGAGTGTAATCGATAAAGTTGGTCTTCCGGCAGCATTGGATTCCTTGGGTGTCAGTATATCACGGGTACAACAGGCCATTGTTGCTATGATTGCTTACATGTTGGTGGAAGGTACACACTTGCAGAAATTCCTACAAGATAAGGTGAGTCCCCCCCTTCTAGTTAATAGAGTCTTAAAGTTTTAGTATTCATAATTTAATGTTGTTAAATTACAAATAACTATTTTAATCAAAAATGAAAACTAAAATGCATTGCCACCTCAAGACAATTAACTATTGTCTTATAACTGTTTGTGAGGCTCACAAAAACATGTTTAATATTATTCAAAAAAAAAATCATGTTTCTTGTCATTTTTCGAACCACCAAAATAGTGTGTTGCCCATCTTTTTCTTTCACTTATTTCTCCACTTCACAGACCAAATATTAGATAACCAATCAATTAATTTCAGAACCACCATATTGCAAATTAACATTTTTTTTGCTATTAATTTTAACAATTCCCCCTACAGTGTAATACTGTTTGTTAAAGTAATTTATCGTTGTCTCTAATACAGTACATTCCATGTTATATGTGAACCCCTCCTCTTGTATAATTGTTGTCTATGCCTTTAAACTGGTATTTGTTATGATGTCTACTTTTGCAAACTCACTTCAGAGAACAAAGGCCTTTCTATTTTGAGACAAGTCTTTGATTTCACATTAACACTGTCAAAGGAAAGTGCTGGAAAAATGTTTTATTCATGAAGTCATTTGCTTTAGCAAAGAATTAAGTATAAACAAAAACTAGAATAATTGTGACATTAATTTAAATAAACAACAAGCAAAGTACAATAACACATTTGGTATTGACAAGGTGTATCATCTGTGCACATTGTTTGCTTTAATTTGGCATTCAAAAGTTTAATCAGTATAGCCACCACCCCACCCCACCCCACCCCATCCTGTACATGTACAAGTCACTTTCCACTGTAAAAATGTGATGTTGTCATTATGACTTTGTAAATTTACATACATGTTTGTGTATTGTTTGTATTATTTATTTGTAAACCCTATCTTGTTTTATTTCTATTTCACTTATTTTTATTTTTTTATTGTCCATTGATTCTTATTATGCAATACTAATATTACCTGATTTTCCTGGGTTTTAACAACCAATGATTCAATTTCAAGAGAAAGGTAACTAATCTTAAATAGTCATACAGATTGTTACTTGAGATTGCCCTGGATGTTATAAGATTAGAACTACGGATTTATACCTACTTTGTTTCAAAATATTGTTGGTTACCAACAGACTTTATCTACAGTCCCAACACATAGAAATACTAACAGTAATTACACGTAGACGGTAGATCTTACAATATCCAGAGTATTAAATCTCAATTACAAATCTCAGTATTTTCACTGTAATGTCCTCATTTCTTTCTGGACATCTTACTGTGCACATTTTATAAATGTTCAAGTATTTGGTTGACATGTATATTCATCTCTTGCATATTTTCAAGTGGTTTATTGACCAATTTTTCTATTCCAATTTCAAATATTGATAACACCTGTTGGCTTATTGAGGCACATCAATTTTTTGGACTTGTCAGAAATTGGCTGAATGGCAACTTTGCTTTTAACTTGACAATGCCATCACAGATTTTATTGAGATTTGGTAGAGGTACTGTATTATTTCACAAAGCTGCAAGTTGGTTTGTGCCGTGATCCTACTCAAGATGACCGACTGACAGTCATTTTGTTTTACATTTTGTCAACATAGACATTATATATGCACAAATTCATTGCATTCCAAGATATTTAGTTCACAGCTAGTGTAGAACATGTTCTTGTGAAAAAAAGGCATGTATAAATGCTGCCCGTTTAATGTCATATAGTACCATAAAAGAGGGGGGCGGGGCTGAGACATTTTTTATAATTGCTTAATTGGTACGGTAATCATGATATACATTTGTGGAGTTGGTCAAAAAAGCTTATTCGCAGTGTATTGTTTTGATGTAGTTGTATTAGCATTTCAAACATTGATTGTGAAAAAGATTCACCGTTATTTGAACAACTACGTTACCAAATATAATTGCCGCTGTAAACCCATCTGCTTGATTCTACATCATAGCGTGGTGAGATATTAGACGAAAAGGGGAAAAAGTGGGGTTAAGTAGTGCATGGACTTAATGGGAGCTAATGTGATGCCATCTGTCTGTATGTCTGTCTATCTGTTCATTGATCTGTCATAATTGCTTCCTTTAAACAATCATTAATCTAATTCAAACTGTGTTTGGTAAATTACTGTGTTGTTGGTGTGCATTCTTGTGTTTTTAAGGTACATTTAGTGTTCATTATGTGTACATCTTGTTTGTTCCATCCACACCTTTGTGCATCTGGTCATCTGTATTATCATATATGGAAGTAGAGTCTTTAGTGGTAGATGAAAACTGAGCTTGACTTACTCAGCTCACATCTTGTATCCTATGTTTTAATTGAACATAGTATGATTCAATCCTTAATTCAGATATGACCAAATATGAGCGCAGGAGGTCATTTGCAGCAACATTATGGATTAAATATGAATGCAGGAAACAAACACCTGTCAGTATTAAGGCAGTTTGACTCAAATGCAAATTTTGCACTACTGAGCATGTTACTGCACAAATATGCA